GATGACATGGGCCTTGGATAGACAATTTAATTGAATGATGAAGGCTCTTTGCAGCATTTGCGTAGCAATGTAGAAAGCTTGTAGATGTTAATAAAATCCAGAATTGTGTCACTGTCTATGATCTGTGAGAATCCTAGTATTTATGAACTGTTTTTAGTGATTCCTGCAAACTGTTAATGTCCTCTGCTCTAAAAAGCTACCAGTTCTGTAACTGCTTTTTTTTTTACTTGTAAAAGTTTGCTTTCAAAGTGAAATTTTAGCATTCACAAAAATTAAGAATTAGTGATGAAGTTAGATGAGAAGTAAACTAATGTTGAGAAACGTCTTGTCATTCTGACACTTCTGATTTCTGCTACACATCCTGGGTTCTGTGGAGCAGATATTTTTCATTGTGCCAGATTTGCAGAAGGTTTTTTGTTTTAATATAGTTACTACTTGGAGTAGCAAGCAGACTTGATCCTTTGGCTAATATGAAAGCAGGTTTTAATTAATTAAAGAATGTTCTGTGTTCTTGATACTGTTCAAATACAGATTTACTTTTTAACAATTCTTCAACAGTGGAATAAAGTTAGGATGGCATCAGAGTACTTGGAATAGCTGATGGTTTTTGATCTGAAAAACTTTTCGCATGCTAAACTCTTGTGCAGTATTATGGTGATAAAATTGATATTTAATCTTCAGGCTTTATTTTTTTTTATAGCCACATTTGCACAAGATTGTGAACAGCTCTATGGAACTTGCACAGACTGCCAAAGAGCCCTATAACTACTTCCTGCTGCTCAGAGCGCTGTTCAGATCTATCGGAGGAGGCAGTCATGATCTGTTATATCAGGAATTCTTGCCGCTGTTACCAAACTTACTGCAAGGTAGAATAATACCTTCTTTCCCCACCCCAGTTTCTGATCTTTTTATGTAAATGGTAGTAATACGGTTGTGTTATGTAATTAAAAACCCAGAACTAAAGCCCTAACCCTGATAAATAGCTTCTGATTTTGAGCTTAGTAGTTGATTAAATATCTTGAATGTGGCGTATTTTCATTTACTGTCAGCTGCTTCAGGCTCCAGATTTTTGGCTGCTTCACAATTTCTGCTGCCTACTTTTTTGCTTTCCGTTGTGGGGCTGTTGGGGTTTTTTTTGTTTGTTTCTTCCATTCATTTTTTGCAATGGGTAACTTTGTTAGCATAAAGGGAGCGTTGAGGGATAAGAGTAGTAGGAGAAGCAGTGCTGCCCGCCATCACTGGCTTTATGGGAAGAACGTAACAGAGAAGCTCTGGTTGTTCTGCAGTTGAGGGCATGGTGTGTACTGGCAAGTGGATGATAAACATAAATGCGAGTAGTGTCAGCTGTCAAAAATAAGTTGGATATAAGAGTCAGTTTGATTAACTGAGCATTTGTGCTTGCAAGGACTGTGTTCCAGAGATACTGAGGATGAGCAAGAAAATGTGGAGAACTACTTAAACCTAAGGACAAGCTAACTGGAACAATTCCAGGAATGTGAAATCCTGTGGTTCCCATCTGCAGCTGTAGGGGCAATTTTTATTGTAATTAGCAAATATGTATGTTATCTATAAATCATTCTGTAAAATACATGTCAGTGTAGAAGTGGACGGCTGAGATTTGAGTCAAATTATCTTTTTCTGGTTTTCATCTGCTGTATTAAAATACTACTTTATTGAGTTTAATATTAAATTTTAGAATATATGTAGATATTCTTTTTTTTGTGTATGCATGTACCTACAAAAGCATTAACTGCATAAAATCCTTAGATGTAAGTTATAATTATAAATGGTATTTTGTTTTGTAAATACGTTATTTACAGAGATACATGCTTTACAGAATTTGAGAATGTCGGGTTATTCTGTATTTAGGAAATGGAATTTTTAACAGTAAACTGTGGACTGTCTTTTTCCTTTGGGTGTATAACTTTTCAATGATTTTCAGGACTTAATATGTTGCAAAGTGGCCTTCATAAACAACACATGAAAGACTTGTTTGTAGAGCTCTGCCTCACTGTGCCAGTTCGTTTGAGCTCATTACTGCCTTATCTGCCAATGCTGATGGATCCTTTGGTGTCAGCTCTCAATGGATCTCAGACGCTGGTTAGCCAAGGCTTAAGGACTCTGGAGTTGTGCGTGGATAACTTGCAGCCAGATTTCCTGTATGATCACATTCAGCCGGTTCGAGCTGAGCTAATGCAGGTAAACGTGTTGTTTCCTGTTAGACCACAAGAGGTCATTGATTTGCTAAATATTATTAGAAATTTGTGTGAACCTTTGGTTATAAAAACTTAAGAAGTCTGTCATGAGAAAAGTTGGTGTTGTGCTGTTAAATCAAAAGCTCTGAAAAATTTACAAGTGAATCAGTTATTTCTTCTGTACCCCCTATTAAGGGGTTAAAGTGAAGACTTGTGACTCAATAGCAAGAATATGACTACATTTAAGATGAGTTGGTACAGAAAATCATTAATATTTGTTAATGTTTTAAAAACAAAACAAGAAAAGCTAATTGCCTTCAGCACATCATGGTTGACAGCTATATGAAGTCTTATATATACAGTGAAGATGATGTGGCTGAAATTCAGAACAATGGTTTAAATGTGACCCCCTAATACAGTGCTTGTGTATAGTTCATCCTTTAAATATAGTATTTACTTTATTTGCTTTTTGTATTTCAAAACTAGCTCTTTGAGATTAATTAACTTCAGCCTTAACTGGCCTGCTATTTTTTTTTTTTAAATTGATAATATTGTTTTTGTACTATTAGCCGTAAACATGAAATTACATTTCAGTCCAGCAAAGATCTTGTAGCTGATCACTTTAATCTAAAACTGCACTTAGGACAGCCTTGTTACAAAGCACTTGGATGGTTGTGAATTGCAACTGCTTTTATTCAATCTAGGTAAGTATTCTCTAAGTTATGCAGGATCAATTGCCCAGATACAAGAATGTTTTCACTTTTGACATTTTTTTTCACATTATAACTTGAAAAATTTTGAAGTGAGACTGATCTGACCACGTCACATTTAAAATTACCTACAGGCTTTGTGGCGTACGCTGCGCAATCCTGCAGATAGCATTTCTCACGTGGCTTATCGGGTACTTGGTAAATTTGGTGGAAGTAACAGGAAGATGTTAAAGGAATCACAGAAACTACAATATGTAGTCACAGAAATCCAAGGACCCAGTATTACAATTGAATTTTCAGACTGTAAAGCATCCATTCAGCTCCCAATGGAAAAGGTAAGCCCTTAAGTTGCTTTCTGTGCTGGTGTCATGGTTTGGGCCCAGCTGGCAAAGCAGCACCACACAGTTGCTTGCTAACTTCTCCCACCTGCCCCTTCCTGGTGGGATAGGGAGGAGAAATGGGGGAAAAAACCAGATAAAACCTCATGGGTTGAGACAAGGATAGGGAAGGATCACTCACCAGTTATGGTCATGGGCAAAACAGGCTTGCTTTGGGAAAGGAAACTAACTTGTTACCAATCAAATCAGAGTAGGATAATAAGAAACAAAATCAGATCTTAAAAAAAACCTCTCATGCATAACTGATTTTTTTTTATATCCCTCCAGATAGAGAAAGATTTCTAATTAATTTATATTGTAATGAAGAAAGAGAATCTAAACCCACTTATGTTTTCTTTTATTTGTTTATTTTTGTTTCAAGTAATTTTTGAGTTGCCAGACTTGGCAGGTAAAGTACAAAAAGTTGTTTCAGAAGAGCTTTTTTTATTTTTTTACTATGTAGTGACCCGTTGAGAGCCTCCATATGAGGCAGGTAAACTTACACTAGCTTCTTGCTTCATTTGGACATGCAAAATTAGCAGAAGCTTGCCGGCCTGTTCTTTCTTTATTTTCCCTTTAAACTGTTTATGTGTCACCCCCAAAATAATAGATTTAAAGATGCTGTTTTGCTTTTACAAAGTGATGGGATAAGAAGCTAAACTGGCCAAGTAAATGCTTTCTCTGCATTTTTTGCCCTTTCCTAACTTTTGGTGTGCCGCTTAGATTAGGAGCGGAAATCTACTCTAAAAACTCCGTGTTTTCTTTTTGAAGTGTACTGAAATTTATTGTAGAAGTTCCTTAGTGGTGATTATTCTAATGACACCAATGATTTGGTTTTGTTGTCTCTAGATTGGGTGTAGTACTTCTTATAGTTGCAGAACCACTTTATACTTGCCAAGTGGCTTTCATCTGACAATCTCAGTGTATCACAAATGCTAAATTCTCAGTAGTTACAGCAATCTAATCTGTGCCTGTATCTTGGGATCTGAGAGTGAAGCTAGATTCTGAGTTAATTTGGCCTGTGGAGTTTTCATACGTTAGCTTTTCGATTACATTTTCATAAGTGGGTATGATCTGAATGTAGTAAACAGTTTTCTTTATAAGGCAGCTGTCTCTCTTTGGCTCCATATATAGCCAACAGGCTTAAAAATAGCTTGTAAAAATGGTTCTTAAAATGCAGATAGCTTTACTGATTTCTTCTCTCTCCTGAAACTGATGAGTTGAATATACTGGAATTGCTGACGTTTTCGTGTTTAATTCAAACCAAGTTTTCCAAAGTATTCACACATGTAACATGTTGGTTAACAATATGGAATGATCTTCAAATGCTTTCTGACTGTGGAAGTAAGTGTATCTGCCATGAAACTTCACGTTTCTAAAAGCACAGCAAATACCATAATAGTTTCAAGTCTGCTCTCTCAGAGCTCTGTGCTCTGCATTTCTTATCCTAGGCAGTCCAAATTGTACATACTTTTAAAGTTGCTTTTAATATGTATTAAAGATACTATTCCCTTGATTAATCCCCTTATTGTAAATATTGAGAACAAGAAGTGTTTGGTTACCATCTATCTTTTTTCATTATAGGCGATTGAGACTGCTCTGGACTGTTTGAAGAGTGCTAACACAGAACCGTATTATCGCAGGCAAGCGTGGGAAGTGATCAAGTGTTTCTTAGTAGCTATGATGAGCCTGGATGATAATAAACATGCATTATACCAACTTCTTGCACATCCCAAGTATGACAATTCTTTAAACATAAATGTGTATGTAAAATTTATAGTGTCTTTAGAACAACCTAATTTAGAGACAACGGTTAGTCTAGGCAATGTATTCTTCATGGGATTTTTACTTAGCTGGTTTATTGTGCTTCCTTTTAAATCAATGCAGGACTTTACAGTAAGAGGAATTTTGTCAGCATGTGATTGAATGCCAATGGCTTGTTAATGTCTCATACTTTAATTTTTTTCCCCTAATCACAGTCCAATGTATAATGTTACATATGATCAGGCATTTTTTTTTAAAATGAATGGTGATTTAATGTATCTAATATTGGAATATTCTGGGGCTTAATTGCATTTTAAAGTTTAATTTAGATTGTGATATTTTCTATATACATCTAACTTTTTACTCAAGTGAAAGATGCGAAATTCAGTTTCATTTAGTGACCAAACTATGGCATAGTCCCACACGTAACCTATGTTTGTCTTAGTGTGGGGGCGTTTTATTGAATTTTTTTTATGTCTTTTACAATTTTAGTCATTGATACTTAATGAGTTTATTGCTTTTAGACAACTTTGACATCTTTGCCTACAAAGTCTGTGCTGACTTCAACTCTTGCAGTGTAGTAAATGTAGCTAAAGAGTATAGTAGCTTTTGTAATTTGGACTTGTTAGACTTGACATAAATATAGCGTTGCAATGAACAGGTTTTGTTGGGCAATGATTTGATAAATAATGTTTAAATCTTTCAAGATTAAAATTAAATGTCATTTTAAAAAAGGGGAAAATGTCAAAATGTTGAAAATGACATTCTGTAATTGAGTTGCTGTGATGCCTATATACCTGTTATTTGTAATACATGTGGCTTCTTCTGAACCACTGGTGTTAAGTGTTTCTGATGAAATTGAGCTGTCCATCATGTTGGAGACCAGTGGTTGACAAAATTAATGCGGACTGAGTGAACTGGTCTAGCTCAATCAAAATGAGGGGAAAATGGGAGGCAGATATTGAGAGCAAACTTTAAATCAAGTACTTGACAATGCTCATGATTGAGCTGCCAGCGCTGCAGTTTAGGATTATAATGAACTTGATTTTGTCTTTCAGCTTTACTGAGAAGTCCATACCCAGTGTGATTATTTCGCATCGCTACAAAGCTCAGGATACTCCAGCCCGTAAAACATTTGAACAGGCATTGACAGGGGCATTCATGTCAGCAGTCATCAAAGATCTGAGACCCAGTGCTCTGCCGTTTGTAGCCAGCTTGATCCGCCATTACACAATGGTGGCGGTCGCTCAGCAGTGTGGTAAGAGGAACAGAGATCGTGTGGACTGTCGTGACAGTCGCGGAGAAATTTATACTTTTTTAATAGTAATTTGTTTTAAGAAAGTGATGATATTGCAGTTGCTTCTGGGTAGATATGTTGGTTTTTGTTTGATGGCTGAATGACGTTTTGGTTCTTTTGAGCAGTGAAAAATTATTAAGCAAGTTTTTAAAAAAACAATCAGTCACCTAATAATACTTTCAAAATGCTACAGCCGATGAAATAATTACAGTCTGGAACAGTTTATATTTCCAGAGCATTTTTGTAACTTGATATATACAGTTATTTTTGTGGATGGTTTTTAATTGGGTTGTTTCCACTTGTGGTTTTGAAGGACCACCAGAGGAACTAAGTTAGAGCACTGAAGTGTCTTTTATCTAGTGAAGACAACTTTGGAATTGGACAGTATGACAAGTAATTTGAGAAAAGCATGCTATAAACATATCACTCTTCATTGTCACACTAATGTAACTTGAATTTTTATGATTCTTCATTTTAATTAAATCTTCTTACAGTGCATAGTCTAGTGCCTAGAAGAAAATATTCAAGTAGATGTAATCTTTTTTTCTTGTAAGAGTGAAGAATGCCTTACAATCCATTTGTATGCAAATAGACACAGTGCTTACCGGTTTTGCCATCATCTAGTCAGAGGAGTAGTAAAATCTAATTGAAAGACTATTCATATTGAAATATCCATTGTTTTATCTTTTTTTTTCCTCTCTCTTTTCTTCCCCAATACAAATTTCAGGTCCTTTTTTGCTGCAGTGCTATCAGGTTGGAAGCCAGCCCAGCACAGCCATGTTTCATAGTGAAGAGAATGGGTCGAAAGGCATGGATCCCTTGGTGCTTATTGATGCCATAGCAATCTGCATGGCGTATGAGGAGAAGGAACTCTGCAAAATAGGAGAAGTGGCACTGGCAGTGATATTTGATGTTGCAAGCATTATCTTGGGTTCAAAGGAAAGGGTAATATGTGTATATATATTTTTAATGTATTTAAATGATCTAGATGTAATTTTGCTTCTAAAATTTTGGAGGCTACCCGTGAGCTGAAAAAGCAAACTGACGCATTTCTTTGTTTCCAGGCTTGTCAGCTTCCCTTATTTTCGTACATTGTGGAGCGTTTATGTGCTTGCTGTTACGAACAAGCTTGGTATGCTAAACTGGGAGGTGTTGTGTCAATTAAATTTCTTATGGAACGACTGCCACTGATTTGGGTCCTTCAGAACCAGCAGACTTTCTTGAAGGCACTTCTCTTTGTTATGATGGATCTAACTGGAGAGGTATTTAATGAATGAACTACATCAAATAGTAGGGGAGAAACAAACTTTTGGTGTTAAATTCACACAGATTGAACTCTTGCTAATCTTGATTTTGCTTAACTTCAGAACATGTCATATCTGAGATAGTTAAGAGTGAATTCTAGTCATTTTAACTTAAACCAAGACCTGAAGTTAGGATGAGGTCTGTTTTTTTCCCCATAACTTTGCCAAAGTTGTTGGAATTACACTTCTTTCAGGGTAGAAATGTGCAGGTCGCATTCAGATCAGGGAAAGAACACTAGATTCACTGTCACTTGCATGAAAAACACTGGCTTTTCTTCTTTCTGTGTTCAGTCTGAAAGGTGTTCATCTTATCAAAAAGTGGTATGTAGTTATAGATACCGAGAGAATCAGATGCTTGGCCTTTTCTCAGTTGTGAATCGTATGGTGACAGCATTGCTAAGGGTTCCAGCGCTTGACTTTGTTTATAAAATTGTGTTGCATTGCAGCTCACAGTTTTGGAATGATGGGTGGGAAGCCTAGTTGGATATGAGTTCTGTTTAAGCTTTATATGCTGTTAGCTGTTTGCAGAGTATTCATCAAAACTGAATACTAAGTTCTTTGACAAGTAGTGTGTAGATTTGTGATCTGTGTTTTTGTACTTATTAAATAAAAATAATCTGTGATATTTTAGGTTTCCAATGGAGCAGTTGCTATGGCAAAGACCACATTGGAGCAGCTTTTGATTAGATGTGCAACTCCTTTAAAAGATGAAGAAAAAACAGAAGAAATCCTAGCAGCACAGGAAAAGTCTTTCCATCATGTCACACATGACCTCGTTCGAGAAGTAACCTCTCCAAACTCTACTGTGAGGAAGCAGGCCATGCATTCCTTGCAGGTGCTCGCACAGGTCACTGGAAAAAGTGTCACGGTGATTATGGAGCCACATAAAGAGGTAAGCAGAAATAATTAGTGAAAGTCCAAGCAAGTTTAAAGTTGTTTACCAGTTTGGAATTGCAAAATGCTTTCCTGAGTACATTTTCCGACATGAGTGAATTAAGTTCTTAGTACTATGATAGCATATGTTTGTCGTGTGCTAGGTTTCATTGTCCTGAAATACCCTGTGGTTGGAGTACTGTAGAGATTCACACAAGCTGTGCCATTCTACTTAGCTGGTATTTATGGTGTCTTCAGGTTGATTTACTTCCTGAAATTATGGGCTGCCAACTGATTATTGCCTACCACCAATCAGATATAGGCTAGGCCAGGTAGATATTGCATTTTGAACTTCAGTTTTGTGTTATTCTCTAAAAATGAGGCATATTTCTATGCCTTTCCCTGTCCAGAAAGAGACTATGAAGATCAAAGCTGGTTGAAATAACTTTTTGCTAGATACTCTGTAAAGCTAATAGCATTCATTCTCTTGGAAGACAAGTATTAACATACATAAGCCCTAAGGGCCACCACAACACGTGAGACTACAGATGTCGTTATTGTAGTTTGGGAACATACAGAGAAGCCCCCTGATCGATATCTTAGGTGTTTATGGAGGAGAGTGAGAACTTGCTGTAATGGAAAAAACATACACGAATGTTTTTGTTTTTCTGATGTTTTAGGAGCTTAAAGTATTCTTGTTTCTTGCCTTGAATATTTTAAATGCTCAAGTCTATGAATTTTTTTGTTGTTTATAATGTTATGTGAAGTTACTAAATATCAGATCTGCTCAGGAGAATATGTAGTAGTTGCAGATACTGAGTTGTTTCTCTAACTGACTGTAAATTAAATTAGTTCAAAGAAATACTTTTCTACTTGCTGAGTGATTTTTTAGAGGTACCTATGGAGCCACAGTAGCAGGTGGATAGAAACATGCCGCCACGACTGCTGATGTCGCCTTAGTGGCTAGGTCTGCAGGGTCATTTGAATAGGATGCTAATTCAGTAATCCAAAACACATTGTGCAGGTTCTCCAAGACATGGTTCCTCCTAAAAAGCATTTACTTAGGCATCAACCTGCAAATGCCCAGATTGGCCTGATGGAGGGAAATACATTTTGCACAACCCTGCAGCCCCGACTGTTTACGATGGATCTAAATGTTGTAGAACACAAGGTTTTCTACACAGAGGTAACTTTCATTTTTATGTCCTTGTATTTGAATGTAGATACTTAAGTAGTGATGGTGTTAGAACTTTCATTGTTAAAAATACATATTTTCTCTGTACTTTTTAAACTTTCACTGAAGTGTAAGAATTTATCTTTTGAAACGTGAACTGAGGTGTGCCTTCACTGACGATGTAACAGTTCTGAGCTAAGCAGAATATTCTAATGTGTGTGAAATACATTAAATGAACGTTGGTGTTATACTCCTAGTCTAGTGGCCCTAACTTCCATATTTAGCTCTTATTTTATGCACAGGATACCTATTAATTAAATTCTTGTACTGTCAAAACATAAATATTGCTTGTTAAGGTTTTTGAGTCCCTAACAGTTTGAGTAAAATCAGATATAAAACTAGTGTGTATAACAAGTGCATTCTTGGATATAGGTGCAACCTGGACGTTGTTAATTTGCATAGCTTTGTTTCAGCCTGTTCAGTGTTTTCTAACAAAAAAACATATATGTGCATCGAAAATTCTTGTCTGCAAAGAGGAGAGCTCTGTAGGAAAGAATCATGCCTGTGGGCAGTGACCTATGACCATTAGAATTACTGAAGACATTTTCAGCACTTTTTTTCCGTATTAATCTTATTCTTCTCTTTTACTCCTTTTCTCAATATTTTCAGTACTATTACTGCCATTCAGGAGGCAACCTTTTCTGTGGACCTATTCTTTTATCATATTAGCAGCCTGTTTGCAAATAGACCAGCTAACTATCGGCCAACAAAATGCAAAATGACTTTTGCCTGCCTTTTTTCTGGTGGCCATGCTAATGAACTCTCTTGCTTCTGGCTAACCCCTGCTTTTCATAGGAACTTGCACCCTAATTTTGAGTAGAATTTTTGCCTGTTGTTGAAGTTTGGAGGTTGATTAGCGTGTTTGCATAAAGTTGTCTCTTTGAGGTAACAAGACTCAAAAGATAACTGATAATACTGTTTCAAATGTGATTCACAATGCTATGCTAAAATGATTGTTTATTTTTCCTAGTTACTGAATTTGTGTGAGGCTGAGGATGCTGCCTTAATGAAACTACCTTGCTACAAAAGTCTTCCATCACTTGTACCTCTTCGGATTGCAGCCTTAAGTAAGTAAAAATTCCTAACCAAAATTTGATGTAGATAAGTGTCCTTGTGAGCAATGGGCTCACAAGTCTTCTTCCCAAGATCAGCAGAAAGCTTGAATGCTTGAAGACTGATGACTGCTCTCTAGAGGTCATAGTTTAATGGAGAATAATGGGAGAGCATTGCCACTTTCTTAATGACCAGAATTTAGTTTCTGCAATGAACCCAAAATATTGTTAGACTAATTAAGTTATATAGCATTAGGAAAACTTTAGAACACTGTTAACAGTATTTGCATTCTTTTACTACTTTAGGATGCCTGTTGCTTTTGGCAAAGCATGCTATGCTTTAGCTGTCCGTAATTTAAGATGAAATAAAAGAAACTTAAAGAGAAGAAATGTAGAATTAGGCTTTTTCCATCCTTTTTGAAACTGAGTTAACAAAGAGAACAAATTTACTTTGATATTTGCAGATGCTCTAGCTGCCTGCAATTACTTGCCTCAGTCAAGAGAGAAAATCATTGCTGCACTTTTCAAGGCACTTAATTCAACAAATAATGAACTGCAGGAGGCAGGAGAAGCATGCATGAGAAAGGTTAGTGTATTAAAACAATGTTGCTTTTGAGGCCATTGTTCTCTCTGCTTTACTTCCTTGTTTGAAACTTCTTGGGAAAGTGCTCTACAGGAAATAATGGCTGCTCTGTTAAGTCTCTGTTAGTGACACCAGTATATTTAAGTTTCTGTCAGATGTTGGGTTTTTTGGGAGTTTGAACTTAACCATAAAAATATCTTCTGGTTGAAATTAAGCATTATATGCTCTTGGACAAGGGCCATGGTAGTCTTTCTATCTGTCCGCTCTTTCAGTCTTTGTTTGCCTGGTCTTTGTAAATGTATCTTCTTTTCTAAATAAACAGTGTCAGTCCTTCCCTGCAGTTTCACAACTGTGCATGCCTGGTTTTATTGTAAAAGCTTTTCTCATGTTTCTTCTTTGTTCCTAAAAGAAGTGGTAGACACACCATAGTTAGTTTTGGAAAAGTAAGCAATACAACAATTTTAGACTCTGCTTGACGGTATGGCAGTTACCTTAAGGAACACGACTGTGGCTGTACTGCTTAAGGTCAGAATTAATGTCCTTACATGGTGCTACACTACCCTGTCTGTTCTGGGGATGCTAGGTCATAGTGTAGAAAACCTGGAAGGATAGGGAAAAGTATACTCTGTCATTGTGATTTGTTGCCCAGTAGATATGCCTATTCCTGATTCAGCAAGATGTTAATATCATTCTTCTAAACATAGAGAATGCTAATAAAAATATTTATAGCCTTTCTGTATTGATGTGTAGATTGGCTGCTGTGTAGCTGGGAATGTAACTATAGTAATACTGAGGGTTTACATTTGTTGAGGCCATTGACTGATGAGAGGTCAGATGTTGTCTTTTCCCATCACTCTGGTCGTGAAAGAGAATGTGCTTGTTGTTTATGGCTTGCTGAGAGGTAAGAGGGAGTAGATAAGGGTTGTTCTGACTTATGGATTTGGTATGATTTTCTGATCGTTTTTTCTTGTGATGAAATCATGCCCACAGGATGTTTGGTTGTGAAAGGAACTACTCTCTCTGGCTGCTTGCAGACAGGTTCTCTTGACCTTTTACATTACTCAGGATGCATGCACATTGTAACACAGATTTGATCTGTTGCCCTCAGCAAGATTCACAGGCAATTCTTAATAAAGCAGTGTCTATGTATTTTGTCCATAGCCATGTATTTAATTTGTAGGTATGGCAGTTTTTTAATCCATCTGTAATTAAGGTCTCATATTTGATTATTTTATAGAATATCCTGCTGTGTGTAAGAAACACTTAAGTGCTTCCCAAATCCATCTTGTCACTATATATATTTCCAGCAATAAATATTGTTTGAGCTGTTGCATTCTGAAAGTACAAAATAAAAGAAGAAAAATCAAGTCAGCAAAATTTATTTTAAGAAAGATGCTTGCAGAAAGGTCACCCCCCTTTCCATCTGTGTCTTAATCCTGTACTCTCTTGCAGTTCTTGGAAGGAGCTACCATAGAAGTTGATCAAATTCATACACACATGAGACCGTTGCTTATGATGTTGGGAGACTATCGAAGTCTGACACTGAATGTCGTGAATCGCCTGACATCTGTCACTAGACTTTTTCCAAACTCCTTTAATGATAAATTCTGTGATCAGATGATGGTAAGCCCAGCTGAGTTTTCTTCAGCTCTTCCAGAGGTAGTTTTCTTTTAGCTAATATTTGTATTGTTGAAAAGTCAAAGAACAATTTGGTAGTGACACAGTGTATTTATTGGAAGTAAAAGGTTTTTGTTTCACAATTAATAGAACAAAAAAATCTTTAAACATTTTGAGTTAATTTCTAAGGAGCTACTAAACCAGGTGCCAGGTTGGATGAGGCTTTGAGCAACCTGATCTAGTGGAAGATGCCCCTGCCTATGGCACAGGGGTTGGAACTCAATGATCTTTAAAGTCCCTTCCAACTCAAACCATTCTGTCGTAGAATCATAGGCTTTCTGGGCTGCAGCTACACATTAGTGGGTTGTTAAGCTGCTTCTCTTCAGGGCAGCTCTCAATCCATTCTCCTCCCAGCCAGTGTTTGTGCTTGGGGTTGCTCCGACCCTGGTGCAGGACCTTGCACTTGGCCATGTTGAACCTCATTAGGTTTGCACGGGCCCACCTCTCAAGCCTTTCAAGGTTCCAACTTGATTATGATTCTTCTATGATTTTGTGATCCTCCTTTTCTTATAGCATATGCTGTCGCTTGCTAAAATGGAACAGTATAATTAGAAGAATAATAAACTAATTATCCTCTCCTTCTAGCAACACCTGCGTAAATGGATGGAAGTTGTAGTTATTACACACAAAGGTGGACAACGGAGTGATGGAAATGTAAGTTAATGAATGCTTTTCTGTGGGAAGACAATAAATAGTATGAATGTTTTGGAGTTACAGAATTCATTCAGTTTTAAATGTTGCCATAACTGATTACATACTGGTTTTTTACAAGCTAATGAAATTATATGTATATTGAATATTTGTTACAAATCTTAGTAAGAAGAGCTTCTTATCTGCTGACAACGGTTACTTTAAAGCCTGTTCTTTACAGGTTGGTGTGGGAACAGCTCATTGATTTTTATTCTTTTTCCTCAGGATTTTCTGCTTAGAAATCTGTTCTTTATTGGAATGGCTGATGAGCACAGCAGTATAATCCCTCTTTTTTCACTAATGTGTTTGATGTTCATAGCATAGTATTTTGAAAATTACACAGAATAATAACATAATGTCAGTTCATTTTGAATGTAATTTCTGAAAAACAAGTCCAGTATTTAGATTCTTTCTCCCACCCAAACTAATGACCTCAGTGTTGAACTATGGGAAGCTGAGCAGTTTTCTTATAAATGGAAAATTGCGCAACGTAACAACAGCACTCTGCTCTTAGCAATATGGCACTGAAGGGATTTCCCGCTTCAGTGGTGTTTCCTGTAGGTTACCAGAAGTCCCAGTGTTCTATTAAGATTTTGTTAATAACTTACATTAAGTGTTGAAATTTATTGTTGCAACTAGGAAAAAACTGGGAGCAATTTTATTAATTTCTTTGTTTTCCCAATTAGAATGAAATTAGATTGGCTTTTTATTTCCCTTTTAAATGTGGAAATGGCTTAATGGCTTTTTATTGCTTTTTCCTGTCATTGCAAAGAGGGCTTTAAAATCTGAATTTAGTCATTGCTTTGTATTTGACCTAGATGTTCTCTAATAAGGTAGAATTTGTTTCTTATGTTTAAACTTTAAAACCATACGTTTTTCAGTTACACGTGTTTTGTTCAGGTCAGAGTAATTCTAAGGCCTTCATATGCTTCTTTTGGGATTCACTTTTCCTCAAATGTAATTACAGATGTCTTGCAGATTGTTTCATAGCAAGAGTCTTTCAAACCACAATGTGGCACCTCTGGAACAGTTTTTTGTTGTCCCTAAATCACATTTAATTGTTAATTCTTCTGCTTTTAATGTCTTCTGTTGATGTTTTCTATGTAGTTGTGTCTTTAGTCTCCTACACCTGTAATTTTTTTAGTGTTGGTTTAAAACCTGTTATGTTGAGGGGGAGGTGCACAGCAGGCACTCGAAAAGGAATCTATTGTCACATCTTGAGAGAGGAGGGAAGTCTGTGGAAACATTTTCAAATAGAATTGTATGACTGCAAAGTTGATCGAAATATTACCTTTCTCCCCCCCACTTGTTACTTTAAAGTTTCCTTAAAAATAAAAGCTCTAGGAAACTGAAGGAGGGCACAGGCAGTGTGGTCTATGTACGGTTGCTCTGGCAGTCTGTGTTCTGACGTCCATACGTACAGTGCGCTGTTGCTGTGCCTTCTCAATGTGGAAAAACTGGGATGGTGAAACTGGTGGTCACAGTGACTGTAGCTGGCCTTTCACTTACTTGGATTTCTTCTCGACCATAAGGAGATTCAAAAATCTGAGCTATTCACTTAAAAGCAATGTTGGGGAGTGCTTTTGAAATAGGTTTTGTCATTCAGACTGAGTGAGTGGCTAGATGTAGGAGATGGTAAACACACAGTGGAGAATGGGATTGGTCAGGAAAGCCTTATGTTTGCTAGCTGAAACGGTACAGAGCACTGTTACAATAATTTTTGACCTGAAGAGTTCTCATCTTCTTGCAACAGCACATTATGAAGGTGCCATTTGGTGGTGATGCTGGTGTGGTCATACAGTTCTCCAGCGTAGTGCAGGTAGTGGCTAGTCAGCAAGGCTTCTTAATGAAACAGTCCAAAAGTCTATGGAATGAGTTTTCATATGTAAATGGCAATTCTAAATAAACTAAAAACTTCAGACATCTCAGTTAAAAATGTTGCATAATAATTAACAACTATTGTTAAGATCCACATTGATGCCAAATAACTAAGCTCTTAGTTCACTTAAGTAATTTTATGACAGTCCTACTGTGTTCCTGAACTGACTCGCCTGTTTAGATAAATGAACAAATTATATTATATTATATTATGTAGTGATTAAGATCTAATTCATTGTCCCAATGAGCAAAATCTTTGATTTAGCTCCCTTCTTCCTCTCTTCTCTGCCTTCCCAAGGAAAGATATGTTTTTTGAGGTCATGTCCAGTAGTTGAAAAAAAAGTTTTGAATAGATGGTTGCCTCTGACTGTGTCTCTTATGAACAGTGGCACCGCAGTGGAAATTCTGCATTACAGCCTATGAGAAGGACTTTATAGCTTGGTGGTTCAAGTATTGAAAGTGGTTTCATAATTGATTGCTGGATAAATTTGTCTTTGAAGATGTTAAAATGTTGTTTCCCCTGATTTAATCATCTCTTTGTTCAGTAACAAATATTTGAGAAGCTATGTCTAAACAATGTGCAAGCAGGAAAAAGGGTGCTTTTCATCCTAATTCTTAGGAGAACAAGTCCGAGCATGGGAGATGCTCATTGTCTCCATTCTTTCCGCTTGAGATGAGAAAATAACCCTGCCGAAGTCAGTTTCTGACTGCAACCTGAAGAATAGCATGTACTGATTTGTTCATTTATTTGATGTTTTTGTGGGCTTTTTCTTTTCACGCTGTGAATTCTGTTTTGGTTCAGCCTGCCACGGAAGGGGTAGAGGTGAGAAACTCAGTGGAGGCACCAGGAAGTTCTTTGTTGTTGTGGTTCTTTTTGTTTGTTTTTATTTTTTTTTCTTTCCTTTAAACTGTGATTTGTTAGTTTTATTGTTGTGTCTTGGGCAGAGTGCATTGTGCCTTTGAGTGCAGTGCTGTGAATTGTCTTCTGTTCGTCTGTGGCAGAGCTGTTTTGATACCATTGCTGTTGAGGATGTTAAGCATGTTTGTACTAGGAAGAAGAGGATTTTTCCTTTCTGTGAAGGCATAAGTGCTTTCAAAAAATTTTGTATGTGTTCTCAGTCCTGCACTTCAAACCATGAGAGCAGTCTTGTGGGGGTCTGTCTAGGCAGATCATGTTAAAGGAGTGGGGCCCAATACTTGGTGTTTTAATTCAGTTGAGGAATGCACTGCACTTGATAATACTGTTTTGCACAGGAGAAATTGGTTTTAGAGGGATGATGAGGGTGGATGTTTCGTTTTGTTTCTTCCTTTCCCTTTTCTTACTGAAGAAGATCCACACCCTGCTTAACTGACATATAGTCCCCATTTCAATTACACAGTGAAAGAAAACCACTAAATTATTTTGGAATTCAGAAAGATTTAATATCTAATGGGAGAACAGAGCTGACTTTTCTTTGAAGTAACTAGCTGTTTGCAAGATATACTGAACAGTGCTGTGAGAAAGCTGTCTGTCTTTTTCTTCATATTGAGTCTGGGGTTGGGGGGTACAAATGAGAACTTGTATGGGAAGGTCTGGCTTTTTGATGCGGGAGCCACTTGGTGTAGTGCAGTGAGCACTCCGTAAGTCCCCCATCACCGTTATTGTTACACAGTGTTTAGCTCTTAACTGTGAAACACCACTGTACTGACAAAGAAATTTAAATTAAGCCATGATATTACAAGGGGGAGAAGGGCAGACTTCCACAAGGGCAGTTTTCTCCATGTATCAGGGTAAGTAGATGCTGTATATGTTAACCCTTTGCATTTGGTTGCTGGCCATCCTAATATAGAGGGGAAAAAAAAAAGGTAGGGTGTATGGTACTGTTTTTATATGTTTAGCTGGTAATATAGATTTAATCATGTTTCTTTTTACCTGTAGGAAATGAAGATCTGTTCAGCAATTATAAATTTATTCCATCTGATCCCAGCTGCTCCTCAGACTTTGGTTAAACCTCTGTTGGAAGTTGTTATGAAAACAGAACGAGCAATGTTAATTGAGGTAAAAGTAGAAGTTAACATTGCTGATGTTTTTGCTTTATAGTATTCTTAAACATTAGTATATAATAATTATAATATTTTAAACATGGTGTGGGGACATAAATAAATATGCTTTTCAAGTCTTTTTAGGAGGTGTTTGAGAATCTTAGACTCTCAAAAGTGAAGTTTTGAAATTGTCAATAAATTCTCATCATAGAAGTTCTGAACATTTTGTATCTGTGTGAATGCCAAGTCAAATGTATTTTTCTGAGTGCTAGTAAATTAGTAGAAAATACTCTGTTCTCTGCATTTTTAATTTAAGCTTTATGAATCTCTCAGGCTGGCAGTCCATTCAGGGAACCACTGATAAAATTTTTGACACGTCATCCATCCCAGACTGTGGAGCTGTTCATGATGGAAGCCACTCTGAATGATCCACAGTGGAGCAGAATGTTTATGGTAAGCTGTGTGGGGAGGGGAGCAGGAAGAAGCCCTCATCTTCACAAATCTCATGAACTACAAGTTTTTCGTCTTTTCTATTTTTTTTTTTCCCTGTATGACCTTGTAGCCCTTAATCATGGTCTTACCCTGACTGTAGGGTGCCTATTCTCCGTTTTGTATTTGTTTGCCCCAAGATGTTGATTTTATATCTTTCCAGATCATGTAGGATTATTACTGAAGTTGTAGAGGTTGTTTTTATATATGTGAAAAAATAACCTCTGCAAGTATAGTGAGGAATATAAAAGCTACAGGATGATATAACCTTTTGGTATTTTTGCTTTGAAAGGTTGTTATTAAAATTATTTCGTTCCCTTCTTCAGAGTTTCTTAAAACATAAAGATGCCAAGCCTCTACGAGATGTACTGGCAGCTAATCCGAACCGATTTATCACTCTGCTGTTACCTGTTGGTACCCAAGCAGCTGTTAGACCTGGTTCTCCAAGTACTACTACAATGCGTCTCGATCTTCAGTTTCAGGCTATCAAGGTATTCGTTTGTTCTTGTTTGTCTCTGCGCTAGATAGTTAAAATCTCTTTAGCCACAGGCCTGTTACATACAGGCTTTCAAGTGTGTGTGTATGTATTACACCTTGTAGAAAAACACTTGTAAAAATGTAAAGTGTTTTGTAGTCAGAGTTACTCTAAGAAGGGAAAAGAGACTCAAATGACCTATACTTTTTAAAAATCAAGTGGGATACAAGAAGAAAACATGACAACTGAAACTTTTTTTTGAAAAAAATGAAATTCTTTTAAAAATTGCTCTAAACTAATTTTTATTAGACTCTTGGAATATTTTAGAACCTTTGGTTGACCTTGAAGTGCTTTTATATTACTATTTCTACAGACAGATCTGTTGTATGTTGACTGTGCATTTGTCTCTTTTTGCTCTTGACAGATCATAAGTATTATTGTTAAGAATGATGAATGTTGGTTAGCAAATCAACATTCCTTGGTGAATCAACTGAAGCGTGTATGGGTGAGTGAAGCTTTTCAGGAGAGACATCGTAAGGAGAATATGGCTGCGACAAATTGGAAAGAACCTAAGCTATTAGCATATTGCTTACTGAATTACTGCAAGTATGTAAAAACATTTATTTCCTATAGCTTGTGTACATTTTTTTTTAAATTTTGAAAATACTGTAAAGGTATACAGGAGTACTAAAAAGAGTTTGCAGTTACTGAAGAGAAAGTTTAATATATTTCATAATACTGCCATTAGCTCTAAACCCGTGCTGGTACTGCCTGCTGTTGGCTCTCTGCTCATTTAAAACCAAGATTAGTTTCTTTGCCAGCTTGGCTGGGTAGTTTTTCACAGAAGCTTTTTATTTTATGTGTTTTTACAGAAGGAATTATGGTGATATAGAGTTGCTCTTCCAGTTGCTTCGGGCTTTTACGGGTCGATTTCTCTGCAATATGACTTTCTTAAAGGAATACATGGAAGAAGAGATCCCCAAAAACTACAGTATACCCCAAAAACGAGCTTTGTTTTTCCGGTTTGTAGACTTCAATGACCCAAACTTTGGAGATGAGCTCAAAGCCAAGGTAACTAAAGCAATTAAATCAAAGAAGCCTGGTATTTAGGTTTAATTTTCTTCTTGGGAACTAGGGCAACAAAACTCACTTACTTAAATGTCAATGAGTTTGATAATTGGCAGAGCCATTTAGGTGAAAATATCATACCTGAAGAAGAGCAATAATAAACAGAGACAGCAATTCATCTTGCTTTCAATGCAGACTGCTTTGGTTTACACTTTCGAAGAATCTTTGCCCTTAGAGGGGGGGAGAGAGGGGAAAAAATCTGTATATCTTTCTTAAGGATTTATTTATAGCTTATTTTTGTAATGCAGTGAGTGTGTCTAACGTGCAGGTTTGAATGTGAAATTACTTGAATGTTGGCTGCCATAACTGGTTTTTGTTTATATTCTGTAGGTGCTGCAACATATCCTGAATCCTGCTTTCTTGTACAGTTTTGAAAAGGGAGACGGTGAACAGCTGCTGGGACCCCCAAACCCAGAAGGAGATAATCCAGAAAGCATCACTAGCGTTTTTATAACAAAGGTAACAACCCCTGTTAACATTAAAGTGTTAAAAATTAAAGCAAAAGGTTGTTACTCTCATTTGGCTTTTCAGTCCTGACTTGAATTAGTTGTGCTATTTCTAAATACTGTGATCAGTTATATCAGAGCACATCGTAACTTTAAACTATTGTGACATCCATCAGTCATCAGTAGGATTGGACTACAGTTTTTGGTTTATGATATATCTTTGACTTCAATGTCTGTCTTTGAGATTACAGCCATATAAGGCCCATTTCTAGTCTTTTTCGTAAGCAAAGCTTACCATGACTGGACATGGATGTCTTTGTAATTTGGTTTAATTGAACCATATAGCAGTTATAAAATAGATGTTGTTGAAGATGAGGGTTTTTTGTTTTATTTTTTTTAATAGGTTAGCACTTTGGAAGTTCCTATATGTGCTCATTATTTAAAAGTTCTCAACTCAGGAGGTTGTTTTGTGGGTATTAAACTGAATTAAAAATGCGGTTGTAGTTATTAGTCTTCCTAAAAGCGACTCAAGAAGAAAAAACCTAGGACTCTGCTTTTATAGATAATAAAGTTGAGGTTTTTTGTGTTGTTATGTTTTTTCTCACCTTCCTCCTCTCCTCTTTGGTCATCCTGGGACTAGGTACTTGATCCGGAAAAACAGGCTGATATGCTGGATTCTCTCAGGATATATCTCTTGCAGTTTGCCACACTGCTGGTTGAGCACGCTCCACATCACATTCATGACAATAACAAAAACCGGAACAGCAAACTGCGACGCCTAATGACGTTTGCTTGGCCTTGCCTCTTGTCCAAGGCATGTGTGGACCCAGCATGCAAATACAGCGGACATTTGCTCTTGGCACACATCATTGCGAAGTTTGCCATACATAAGAAGATAGTTCTGCAGGTATTGATTGTGGGGTTGTATTCATACATTTAGGGGATACTGATTAGTTGTATAGCGTACTTTATTTTATTTTAAAATGCAGAGTAGAGGGTGCACAGTAGTTTTTGATACTTAGTATACAAGTAACAGGAAAGTTCATCTGCAACAAACAAATACAGAAGCAGCAAGCCAAATATTAATACAAGTTTGTTTGGGGATTGGAGAGTACAGAAAGAAGCCTGAAGATAAGTGAAAACAGAGAGGGGAAATGTGACAATGAAAAGTCCTTTTGGTTGAATTAATAATTGGTAATATTTCTTTATTTAAGAGACAGATATTTCAGTTGAGACAGAATATGGGGAACAAAGAGAAACTTCAATTTGAACAGCGGAGAGGGAGAAAAAGGGAACGTAAGGGAGGAAGTATCATCATATATTTAACAAATTGTAGGAAAAAGTAGTGGTTTTTAGAAAAATGTATGTTGTAGTTTCTCTTTCTTTATAAATGCTTTATTTTTGTAAATATGTGTAAGATTGATGTTGATGAGAAACTTGCTGTTTAGGTTTTTCACAGTCTTCTAAAAGCTCATGCGATGGAGGCCCGAGCTATTGTCAGGCAAGCGATGGCTATTCTGACTCCAGCTGTGCCTGCTCGAATGGAGGATGGACATCAAATGCTGACTCACTGGACACGAAAAATCATTGTGGAAGAGGGTCATACGGTTCCCCAACTAGTACATATTTTGCACTTGATAGTACAACATTTCAAGGTACTTCTAACAATTATTCTGGTAGTCACTGTATCTCGGCTTTCAAGGGGGTAAACTGGAGTCTGATTAGAAAAGAACATAATCTGATTTATATGGTTTAGCTTCGGGAGGCATCAGCTGTCTGCAAAGATATTTATTTAAAACTGAAAACAACTGTTAAATAGCAAACCACTTATTAAGCTTTATCATGATTGAAATTAGAACACAAATGCTAGGTCAAAGTCTGCAAGATTCATTCATTGCATGCGCGTTAGCAGCACTCTTTAACAAGGCTGTGAAGGTTCTTTAAGAGTTGTTTAAAAAAAGTGCAGAACCGTATTCTTTTCCATTCTCCAGTAATCGTTGTTTGTTTGACTTTCTATATTCTGTGGGGTTAACTAAGTAACTTTTATCTCCAGGTAATGTATGTTGTGAAACATTAGACAAGTGAGAGAATGCTGCAGAATGTCAATATATGATGCGTGTTAAAATGTGATCCAAAGTGACAGCTAGCTAATATGTGTTTAAGTCAGTTTTCAGGATTGGATTCCTCAAAGTTTTTTGAAAAAATACCTGGGTTCAGATGTGAGTTGTAGCTCTCTAAGAGGATTGGCAAAAAAATTGAATGATTGGTCCTTGAGAAAAATCACGTAGCTTCAAAAGAACGTCTTCATTTGGGTACATGAAATCAGTAGTCGCTACTGAAAATTGTAGCCAAAATCTTATTTTCAAAGAACCAGTTACTTTTCTGAATTGCAAAATTTGAACTTGGTACAGATTTATCAAATTCTGGGATTAAAGACTGTTCTACCATTTTGCTTTATTTTAACTCTGTAGGATTTGTGTAGAATTTTATTGGTTAATGGCTAACATGACTGTGAAACCATCTTTTCAGGTTTATTATCCAGTGAGACATCACTTGGTTCAGCATATGGTTAGTGCCATGCAGAGACTGGGCTTCACTCCCAGTGTTACGATAGAGCAAAGAAAATTAGCTGTGGATCTTGCTGAAGTAGTTATTAAATGGGAATTGCAAAGAATTAAAGACCAGCAGGTAGGAAGTCTAAATAAACTGGTAAAGATTGAACTGTTACACAGTTAAATGCTTTTTTTAACATGCACATTGCTGGTATTTCAGCCAGATTCAGATATGGATTCAGGTGCAAGTGGAGACGGAGCAAGTTCTGCCTCATCTGCTGTTAAAAGAGGATTGTCTGTGGATTCTGGCCAAGAAGTAAAACGATTCAGGACAGCTACAGGAGCAATAAGTGCTGTAAGAAAAAAAAATGGGTTTTGTTCAGAGACTCTGAAACGATAACCTGCACTGACTAAGCAATTTAGTCTAATTGTTTTTTCCACATAACTCAGAACTCCTTGAATTGATGGTTATAATTTCAGAAAATATTTTAAATCTGTTTAGCTTGTTGTTGTCCTTCTTGAATGTTGTTTATGGTTTTTCTGTTTTGTATACATGCAGGTATTTGGACGTAGCCAGTCCTTGCCAGGGGCTGATGCACTTCTTTCCAAGCCGATTGACAAGCAGCATACAGATACAGTCGTGAATTTCTTGATTAGAATTGCTTGCCAGGTAGTATGTTTATCCTGATATGCAAATACCAATATGTCATTAATAGCCAAAACCATAAACCCTTCTTTTCATAAGGGTCCTATTATGCTTGGGTTATTTTAGTATTTGTATATTTTCTTTTCCTGAAAGGTTAGAAACTTTAATGTGAAATTATACAAAAAGTAAAATGTTTTTGGTATAAGGAGGAAAGAAAATGATTTTGAGAACCAGTTTCTGCATGTTTTTCATTCCACAAATGATGGATATTATTCATGAGAGTTATGCTTTAGCTTTATTGTTGGCATTTGTATATTTATAGCTTGATGCAGGGAGCGTGCGCTTTGTAATTAAAACTTTAAATGGGAACGGTTGCAATCCAGATTTTGGAATTGAAAGTGTCTCCATTTTGCAGTGCTGTTGATCATGTTTAGCGTCATGTTTGTTCTTTACTTTCTCTTTTCAAGCAAGTATTATACCAGGATTGACATGATTGAAAATAAATATGACTAGTAGAATTTGGTTGGAGCTGGGCAAAGATTTCAAAAAGTTTCCATAAACGTTTTTTCTTACTTGATTTGTATATTTGCCTGATGCTGCACAAAGTATGCTTGTTCTAGTGCCTAGATTTAACGGCAAGAATATTTTACCCAAAACCTGAAGAATATTTAGAGAATTTAATA